GAGGGGACAGGGGGGCTGGGAAGCAGGGATAGCTGCTGCTGGGTGGTGGGGGCACAGCCAGGAGCTTTGGCAGAGGGTGCCCGGGGCAGGGAAGGGAGCAGAGGAGTGGCAGGGGAGGCAGCCGGGTGGCACGTGGCAGTTTGGCCGGTGTCCCGTGGCCGTGGCTGGGCTGGCAGGAGGCTCCACGTGGGGCTCTTGGCGCTCAATCCCTCCCCATCGCTGCCAACTTCCCCCAAAGCAGCTCCTCTCCCCAAACCCTCATTCTCCCACCCTGCTTTGGGGCAGGGGCAGGAATCCCACTGCCGGGATGCTCCTCTATCCCTCGGAAAGCCCTGCCTGAAAGCTCAGCTCCCTCTGAGGTTGTTTCTGCTGTTGACGTTTCTTCACGACACTTTCCACACTTTTTGTGAAATCTGTACCCCTGTTATTGCAAACTTCTCCCTCCTTCCCCCCACCCCGGCTTGCTTTAGCAACAGCTGCAGGAAAACCAGCCCCGACGGGGAAGGAGCTGTGGAAATGTCTGTAAATCCTCTGCAGGTCCTGCTGGCAGCACGGGGACTCTCCCTTCTGCGGGTGCTTGCTCCTGGAGGGAGATGGGACATGTCTGAAATGAAACCCTGCTGTGTGATAGAAGTGTCAGAAATTGGGAATATCTGCCCACAGGCACTGCTCTGGCTGCCGCCCTGGGTTTTCCCCGCAGCAACATGGGAAAGAAAGCAGCTTTATTATGATTTGTTTTTTAGTCTGAAAACATAATTGCGCAGGGATCTGGGGGGCAGGAGCAGGACCTGGGATTGCCTTAGCGCAGCCTTTGACACTGGCTGGGTTTCAGGATCCAGATGCCCCTTTCCCTCATTCTCACAACGCTGCCCTGGCCTCAGGAAGAGCTGCAGCCCTGGGACGGCAAGTGCTGCTCCGGGATGGTCCTGGAGGGAGATCCCTGCCTCCATCTCCTCCCTGATGGGAAGCAGCATTCTCCGTGCCCCTTCAGCCCCATCTGTCCCCCCAAATCCACCCTGGGGTGCCCCGAGGAAGATCCCACCAGCCCTGCCCAGCCCTCGACGGGCACCGCAGCTCCTTCCCCCGGGCTGTGTGTCCACAGGGCAAAACGCTGTGGGAACGGGCTGACAAACAGGGAGCGGAGCGACCTCAGCCCCGGCGGCAGCTCCGACCTCCCGGGTGCCCGGGGTGCGCGCTGCCTCTCTCATCACCACCGAGGCACTCGCTCCCAGGAGCTTCGCTTGGAAAACAGGATGTGAGCGTGTGAGACGGAGACGCTCCCGGAGACGTGGGAGCTCGGAGCCCCCCGGGGCACAGGGCTCACCCCGGGCTGGGGCGGCAGCGCTGGAGTGGCACTGGGATCGTCCCTTTGGGCTGGTGGGGAGGCTGTGCTGGGGTGGCACCGGGACGTGCTGGGGTGGCACCCACGCTCTGAAAACAGCAGCTTGCTTGAGAGTCAGTGAAACAGCACATTTTTACTCTTTTTTATTGTTCTGACAGAGAGATTTTTCCCTTCCTGCCCAAGCTGTCGTGGTGCTGCAGCTCCCAGAGCTGTGCCCGCCTTTGCAGGAGGAGGAGGGTTTATATGGGGACCAGAGTTTATGTGGAGCTTCCTGCAGGCTTCCTGGGACAGGCAGTACCCAGGGGTTAAAGCTCCATCACAGCGTGTTTATGTGCTGACAAGGAAACGCGATGACAGAGAATCCCAAACAACTTCAAAGCAAGATTTGTGGATTTGATATGGAAACTATTCGGAAAGTCTCGGTGAGGAGGGAGAGCCTCCGACTCACCACCACTGCGGACACACAGCCAGAGCAGGAGCCGTTCCCAAAGCACAGCCTGGCCCCGGTGCCCGTTCCACAGAGCCCGGAGCTCCCTCCCTGGAGAGGGAATTTGGGGTAAAACGATGCTGATGGAGCGGCAGGGATGTGGTGCCATTCCAGAGGTGCCAGTGCCTGCGACTCTCCAGGCTGTGGGGGTGAACCCCTCCACTGCCCCTGCCCTTTGCTCTGGGCTGGAGACTTGTGCCAGCACAGCTCTGGTTTGGAATTCCATTGCACAGGGAACGCTGCGCAACAGGAGCCTGGCTCAGGAGCAGCTCTGGCACCGGCTGGTGCTGCTGCAAAGCTGAGCTGCTTCTCTCTGGGTGCTGCTGTGCCTCTCCCTGCTCCACCTGCTCCTCCCTGCTCCGTCTGCACCCACACTCTGGGGAAAGGCTGCACAGACAGATCCCCAAGGGCTCAGTGGGCGGTTTTGGTGCCTTCACCTGCTGTGCCGGGGTTGCCTTAGGACCCTCTGCTTTGGTGGGGAGCTGAGGAAGCTGGACCACAGGGCAGAGGGGGACGCTGGTGTCCCCACTGTCGGTGACACCACTGTGACTCCGCTGTGTGATGGGTTTATCTCTTGTCCTGTTCCGAGTATGCAGCCACATGCCAGGGAGGGAGCGAGTTCCCAGCTATAAAAAGCTTTTGTTTTATCCATAGCTGCTACTTGAGCTCTCACCCCTCGGCCTCCGTGGCCAGGCAGAGCCTGTGCGCCCTCAGATGTGTCTGGGAGCAGCTCAGGCATCTGTTTCCTCTCTCCAAACACATCCATGGGCACCGGGAGCTCCATGCGCTGCTGAGCAAGGAGAGTGGCACTGCCCGTTCCCTGCATCCCATCTCCCCCCAAGCAGGGATCTTCCCCCATTCATCCTGACCCTCTATGTACAAAGAAGTATCTTTAAATACCCATTGTTTATTCTGTATCAACAGCCAAAGGAGCCGCTCTGATCCGTGGCATAAACAAACTTTCCCAGAGTTTTCTAAACAACACTTGACCCTCTGGCCAGCACTTCCTACGGGGTCTTGCCAGGGCTGGCTCTGCCTCCCCTGCTGCCAGTGGCCATGCAGGTAGGGCCAGGGCAGTGCTTCTGGCCCATGGCAGGAATGGGAAGGGGGAGAGGATGCTTCCCCTGGTGACAGCTCTGGGCTGGAGGGAGCAGTCAGGGTCTCCATCCCTGCAGGGGCTCGAGCCAGGGCTCTGGAGCTGTGGGGATGGGGGTCAGGGCTGGGCAAGACCCAGCACCTCCGTGCTTCAGTTTTTCCAGCTGTAAAACTGGGACAAAGATGCGGAGCCACGTTACTTCCCCTGCAGTGATGAAAGGCCTGGGAGTCTCCCTTCCTCTCCTCAGCCCCGTCTGCTCCTTGGGAGGCGGGGAGGGAGCCAAGCTCCCCTGCCTGGGAGTGGGAGGAAAAGCCTGATTTGAATTCCAGAGAGAAGAGATCAGGAGGGTGGGTTGGATGCCTGCTTGGCCCCTCGGGAGCACGCGGCTGTCTGTCCCACTGCGGGCAGTGTGTCTGTCTGTGGGAGCTCCCTGCAGGGCACAGCGGGGTGGGCATGGCCAGAAGGTGCCATGAGGGACTGTCTGCAGGAAGTTCCTGCTCTAAAACCCCCAGGGGTGAGTCCTACAGCCCCTGTGGTGCCCAGGAGCCAGCGCACAGCCCAGCTCTGCCCGGCAGGCACATTTTGGGTGGTCGCTGCTACCTGGGGAGTGCAGGTGAGGATGGAAGGAGGAGGGAAGGAGGGGAAGCCACCAGCCCCTGGTCAGCCAGCAGTGTGGTGGCAGAGCCGGGCATCCTGCTCCGTGCCTTCCTCTGCCAGCTCCATGGAGCCAAGCCCAAAGCCCTCGTTTACACATGGACATTCCCACTGATGCTCTTGCTTTAATTTCCAGACACAAATCCAGCTCCGTGGGCTGATCCACGCTGGAATCAGGTGTGCAGCCACGCTGGACAGACAATGACACCCCTGCACGTGCCGTGTCTGTGCCGTGCACCATCCTGGAGCCAGGACAAACCTCCCTGGGAACAGCAATTCCCAGCTCGGTCCCAGCCTGCAGCAAATGCTGGGACTGGGAGCTGAGCAGGGCTGGATTGAGCCCTCGGCTGAGGGCTTTGAGAAACCAAAACAGCCTCGTAAAGATCAAGCTCGTAAAACCAGGGCTCTGCTTTGTGAGCTCATGAATGGGAAGAAATGCCAACCGGATCATTTTTACACATGTTTTTTTTCCTCTTTGTCAACGTTCCCACATTTGGCTGAAACTTCAAAATGCCACATTTGGAGAGTCCCTGTCTTAAAAGTCTCAGTATTTGTATAAATAGCTGATAGGGAAAGAAATGACCCGCTCTGGAGTTTGCCCAGGAGCCCTGGGAACAGCAGTGGGGCTCTGGAGGCCCCCAGAGCCCTTCAGATTTTTGTTGTCTCCCCACTGCCACGTGTGAGTGGGGCAGGAAGTGTGAGTGGGGGTCTTCAGACATCAGCACCCACCCAAATTCAGGAGGGGAAGCAAGGAAGGTCTCCTCCATACGCTGGGCAATAAATGTGTAAATGAAACAGTGACTGTGGCCCTGGGCATCATCTCTGGGAGCAGAGCTGCCACCTTGCCATCCCTCTGCTGATGTTCAGAGGGGACAGGGGGGTCACTGTCCCCACCAGGGAGAGGGTCACAGGGGGAGCAGGACCAGCAAAGCCCTGGGGTGCACAGTGAGGGGCGAGAGCAAGAGAGGCGGGGTGAGAGCTGAGGTGTGGGTAGAGGGACCAGAGCACTGGCGAGGGGAGCACAAAGGGGTGAGAGTGAACAGAGAAAGACCAGGGAACGCCGTGCACGGAGAACAAGGACAGACGGGTGGGACTGGGGGCACGGCGAGGGGCTGGAGGGCGCGGAGACGGACGGGAAGGCAGAGCGAGGGGCTGGAGCGCACGGCGAGGGGCGCCCGGCGGGGATGCCGGGGGGAGCAGGACGGGCCGGGGCACCCCATCCGGGGGGGAGGCGGTGCCGCCGCCCGCTCCTCTCCCCTCGCCGTCCGGAGCGGGCAGCCCGGGGCCGCCCCGCGCCTTTAAAGGCTCCTCCTCCGGCGCGGAGGGGACCCGGCCCCGCCGGTCCGCCCCGAGGGCTGCGCCGGGAGCGCGGCGGGGAGCGCACGGCGGGGCGCGGGGCCGGCGCCCCCAGCCCGGCCGAGATGAGCCCCCTCCCCGCGGGCAACGGCAGCGCCTGGGGGGGCTCCGGCAACTGCAGCGGGGCGGGCAGCCTGGGCCGGCAGTGGGTGCTGGGGGCCGCCCTCAGCCTCACCGTCCTGGTCATCGTGGCCGGCAACCTGCTGGTGATCGTGGCCATCGCCAAGACGCCGCGGCTGCAGACCATGACCAACGTCTTCATCACCTCGCTGGCGTGCGCCGACCTCATCATGGGCCTGCTGGTGGTGCCGCCGGGGGCCACCATCCTGCTGAGCGGCCACTGGCCCTACGGCGCGACGGTGTGCGAGCTCTGGACGTCGCTGGACGTGCTGTGCGTCACGGCCAGCATCGAGACGCTCTGCGCCATCGCCGTCGATCGCTACCTCGCCGTCACCTCGCCGCTGCAGTACGAGGCGCTGGTCACCAAGGGCCGGGCGCGGGCCGTGGTGTGCCTGGTGTGGGCCATCTCCGCCTTCATCTCCTTCCTGCCCATCATGAACCACTGGTGGCGGGACGGGGCGGACGAGCAGGCGGCGCGCTGCTACGACGACCCGCGCTGCTGCGACTTCGTCACCAACATGACCTACGCCATCGTCTCCTCCACCATCTCCTTCTACGTGCCCCTGCTCGTCATGATCTTCGTCTACGCCCGGGTCTTCGCCGTGGCCACGCGGCACGTGCGGCTCATCGGCAAGGACAAGGTGAGGTTCCTGCAGGAGCCCCCCAGCCCCACGTCCCGGAGCAGCCGGCGCAGGCGGCCGTCCCGCCTGCTGGCCATCAAGGAGCACAAGGCGCTCAAGACCCTGGGCATCATCATGGGCACCTTCACGCTCTGCTGGCTGCCCTTCTTCGTGGCCAACATCATCAAGGTCTTCTGCCGGCCGCTGGTGCCGGACCAGCTCTTCCTCTTCCTCAACTGGCTGGGCTACGTCAACTCAGCCTTCAACCCCATCATCTACTGCCGCAGCCCCGACTTCAGGAGCGCCTTCCGCAAGCTGCTGTGCTGCCCCCGCCGCGCCGACCGCCGGCTCCACGCCGTCCAGCAGGACCCGCAGCGCTGCCCCTGCGCCTTCAGCCCCCGCGGGGGCCCCCCAGAGGACAGCAAGGCGGCCCCTGGGGAGGACGGGGAGGGTCGGGGCAGCGGCAGCCGGACAGAGGAGACGCCCCTGGCCCAGGGCAGTGGCCACCGGCAGCGGCCGCTGGGCGAGTCCCGGCTGCAGGGCACCCAGACCACGCTGTGCTCGCAGCTTGATGAGTAGGTACCGGCTCGGGGGGGCTCAGGGTGTCCAGCCCTTTGGGGACTGACTGGGAGGGCTGTCAGTGGTGGGTCCACGGTCTGACAGCACAGTGCAGAGCTGCAGGGCAGGCAGACCCTGGAGCTGGGGGGGCAGGCAGACCCCACAGTGCACGGGAGAGGTGCTGGGGTGTGGGACTGGGAACCACTGCCCTCTCCCTTTATGTTCCCCTAAAACCCTGGCCCCTCCATGGGGCTGCAAAACTGGGGTCCCAGTCAGTCTCACCCCAGCCTGCCAGGATGGGGTCTGGTGTTCCTGGGTAAAGGAAATGCTGGTTGTGAACAGGGAAGCAAAGCAGCCGGGCAGGAGTGTGCCCCAAAGCCTGGGATTTCTGCCTTCTGCCCCTGCTCCCACTTTGCGCTGCTAAAGAAGGAAAATCAGGGACCCCCTCCAGAGTGAGGCACCGGGGCTGCTGTCGCCAGCCTGGGCTCTGTGGCTCTCTTTGCCCTCCAAGAGTGTAAATCTGGGAAGGGAATTCATTTCATCCTCCTCTGTCCCTCGGTGAGAGGTGGGCTCCCAGAGCTGGTGGCCTGCTCAGGGCAGGGGGCTGGCAGGGACACCCCTGCTGTGGCTCTGCCCTGCCAGCACCCTGACACGGATTTACACCTCCAAATTACAGGGTGGGGTTTTTCCACCCTGAGGTATTTTTTTATTAGTATGATGAAACTGGAGTTGTTGTGGTTACTGTGGATTTTAACCGTGTTTCTCTGGTCAAAACCCCTCCTGATACCTGAGGGCAGGAGAGACTCCTGCCAGCAGAGATCTGCAGAGAGAGGTGCCAGAGGTGTTCCCTGGGATTCACCACGGGGTGGTGAGCGGTGGGAAGGGTCTGGGCTCTCACCCGCTGTGCTCTGTTCCAGGTTTGCCGGCAGAGACACGCCCGCGGGTCCGTCCGTCTGACCGGGAGCAGCCGAGAGCCGGGAGGAGAGTGAGTGTTTCCCCCGGCCGGGCCATCACCCCTCCGGCCTCTCCTCTGCCCTCCCCGGGGAGCGCAGCCCGCGGCCAGCCCACGGTTTTGGGCATGTGAGCCCGGTGTCCGCCCGGGCCGCTGCCCCCTTGGCTCACTGGAGCTCCAGCCCTTGTGCGTGGTGCTCCTGGATCCCCCTCCGTGCCTGCTGGGGTGGTGGCCGTGGGTCCCTGTCCCCAGCCGAGCCCGGTGGGTGACCCTGTGTCACTCCCACCCTCTTTTTGCAGGGCTGGGGATGGAGAAGCAGCACCGGGGGTGACGGTGCTGGAAGGACCCTCCGGTGCACGCACTGACCAGGAGAGGAGGGGGATCTCCCTCGGGAATGCTGCTGGTTTCGGGACAGCACTGGCTCCTCTGTGCCATTGGTGCTGGAGACCTGGAGCTGGGGAAAAGCCCTGGAGCCACTTGCCCAGGGGCAGCACAGCCTCGGGGATGTGTGGACAGGGGACAAGCTCCCAGCCGGGGTGTTCCTGGCATGGCTGGCAGTGGGATGTGGACGCTGGCAGTGGGATGTGGACACTGGCAGTGGGATGTGGACACTGGCAGCTCTGCTCTCTTGAAGGATGAACGGCCCAGTCGCCCTGGGCTCGGCCAGTTTCAGACAGTCCGTCTGGAAGGGAGGAGAGCCTCCTGCATGCACAAGCCCTTCCAAGGATTTCCATCCCTGCCCTAGCTGCTGCATTCCAGGGCTGGGTGCGATCCCGGGAGCCGCAGCGATGCCTGAGGCAGAGGAAGGGCTCAGGGGATCTCGGGGAGCTCTGAGCACGAAGGACTTCCCAAACCAGGGAATTATGACCTTGTCAGGTCTCCTCCGGTTCCTCCCTCTCATTTGGGGCAGGTGTCCCTGTCTGTGCTGCTCGGGGACGGGATGGGAGGTGGATTCTTGTCCCACACGTGCACAGACGCGCCCTGCCCACACCACGTGAGTTGGTGTAAATACATCACAGTGACTGTACAGGTTTTGTCCTGGTTTGTCTCCCCCCTGCTGCGTGAAATAAACCTGTGAATCTCTGCGATGCCTCCAAGTCCATCCCAAGCAGAGGGGTGCTGCTCCATGTGCTCCTGGGGGGCTGCCTGAGGCTCAGGGGGTGCATCCTCCTTTCCAGGGGCTGTGCCTGGCAGAGAAAAGCCAGGCCCTAGGCGTGCCATGATGCCAGCCCCCAGCCCTGCCACACGTCCCCACGCCCTGAAAGGGCAGGCAGAGCTGACAGAGGTGCCCAGTGCCACCTCCTGGTGCCAGGGAAATCCCAGCTTCTGCACGGGAACTGGGGTGCCACAGGGTCTGCCCTGCTGGGATCCTCCCCTGGTGTGTTTTTTTTTTAACACTCTGCAAGGATGAAATCACTAAATAAAGAGAATAAAAGCAGCTCGTGGCAAGCGTACCCATTTCAAAGCCTCAGACCCCAGTCTGGTTGGTAGCTCTGGTGGCTCTCAGGGGGCTCATTTCTGATCCCAGCAGCTGTCCCCAAGCACAAACAGGTTCTGTGCCCCCCCAGCCCCCATGGCCTCATCCTCCCACGCAGTCCAAAGCAGCCCACGAGGTGTTCTTTACCCCCCTCAAAAGCCCAGTGTCAGTGAGTGACTCCCCAGGCAGCAGAGGCAAGGGGAGGGGGCTGGCCCAGGGAATGGGGGGGCCCAGGGCTCTGCAGGTCCCCCCTGGCAGGACCGGTGGCCTCATCTCTAATCAAGCTAAAGGGGGCTCAGATGGGCTGTAGGTGCTGCTGGGGGGGTGTGATGGGTGCATTGGTGTCACCTGCACTGCATTCCCAGCTTCCACCTCCCTGGGACCCCCCTTCCCTTTATCAGCAGCCGGTGCCGTGGCAGGTCCTTGCTGCTCTGTGGGTGCTGTTTTCTCTGCTGTTTGTCCCACGGGAGCTGGTCACCGGTGTCAGATCTGCTGTAGGGGGGGATGGACACCTCGCTTCCCTTCTCCCGGTTGCTGTCGGAGGAGCGGCCCGTGGCTGAGCTGTGGGGTAGGAGCTGCGAGCCCCGGGGTGCGCTGGGGGCACCTGGTGGCAGGAGCGAGTGGGGGGAACAGTGGCTGTGCTCTGCAGGCAGCCGGGCTGGGTGTGATTCCCCTTTTCCCTTGGAGTGTCCCCCTGGGAAAGCCTCCCTTTTGTTCCCGTGCGGGGGCAGCCCGTGCACGCCCAGACCGTGCCGTGCCCCCCAGGCTGCCAGCTGGGCACGGGCGCCCGGAGCTGCGTGGTGAAGGAGGGCGATGACTTCTTGGAGCACCTGGTGCTGCTGAGAACGGTGAGATCCGAGCCCCCGCCGAGGAGCTGCCGCAGCCCCCCCCGGCCGGCGGATCCCTGCCACGGGCTCTCTGCTCGGCCCCGCAGATCTGCCTGGGGGCTGACGCCAGGGACGAGCTGCACGTGGTGGCCGTGGACTCCAAAAACGCCTCCGGGGAGCACAGGCCGGTGCCCATCGCGGCGCTGCGGAGATCGGTGCTGCCCATGGTAAGGGGTGACAGCATCACCTCGGGCTGGGCTCGGGGCGGGGGGATGTCTCTGAGCTCTGTCTCTTTGCAGATCAGCCTCAAAGCTCTGGAGCTGGTCCCTCCCGTCACCTTCGTGCTGCAGTGCGGGGCTGGGCCGGTCTATCTCAGCGGGCAGCGCGTCACCCGTGAGTCTCACCGAGCTGTGGGATGGCAGCTTTTGTGGCAGCTCGTGCTCTCTGCTTCGCCCCAGGGTTGGAGGGAGGGCAACTCAGGGGGCAACTGGTGCTTGCTGGCAGTTGTGGGCTGGGCAAGGGGGTTTGTGCCAGTTCCCCTGCTCCGCTGCTGCGGGGTGGGAGGGTGTCTGTGTCACCACTCCTGGGGTGGGATTTTTCACCCCCCTCGGTGGGTCAGGGCCACGCCTGCTGCAGCCCTGCCTCCTCTCTCCCCAGTGGAAGATGATGCCAGCTCTGAAGCCGAGGAGGAAGAGCTCTTGGAGGAAGATGCGGGAGATGAGGATGATGATGGGGAATCATAGAACAGGGGCAGCTCAGAGAGGTCTGAGTGGAGCTGGTGTAATGGTGGGGACACCCCTTGCCAGGAGCTGCCAGTGCCCTGTGCCAAATGCAACAGATCCTTGCAGAGGGACACAAACTGTCTGGGCTTTGAGTGTCATTCCTTGTCTCCTCTCCTGGCCCCCTCCATTCCTCCCATGTTTGCAGAAATGCTTTTCCCCCCACTTTTATTGTGATAATAATAGGAAGTGCAGATACCCTGGAGTCAGTCTGGACTGTGCTCTGGTGCTCCCGTGTCACCTGCTCTCCTGTCCCTCCCTCCCTGCCTCCTCTTGGGAAAACCTATTCCACGTGTGCCTCTGTGATGCTGGGCTGGGCACAGGTCCCAGTGAGCAGCCCCTGGGGAGCTGTGGGCTGCTGCCAGGACAGGGGGCTTGGGGCCTCGGGGCCTCTCCCAGCTCCAGCATGTCTGGAGGAGGAAGGCTGCACTGTGGCTCTGCCTCCTCAGGTAGGACACAATGCCCTGCACAGCCCTGGCACGAGTTATTCCGCCAGCTCCTGGCTAATGGTCCTTTTGTTCCAGGAGGAATCTCTCCGATGTGCCTGTTGGGATCAGCAGGACCAAGTCCTTCATGGCAGTGCAGGGAAATGCAGCTGCTGGAATAATGTCATTAGAACTCCTAATTGAGAAAATTGCCCAAATCCATTCTATGCCTGCCACTAGCTGGCAGGGAGGCTGAGTTCAAGGGGAGCCCTGGACCTGCAGGAGGATGGGCTGGGAAGGGAGCACACGGCTCTGGGTTTTAATTTCTCCCAATTTGTAACAGAAAATGCCAGAGCTGAGCTGAGGGAGCCAGAGCTGTCACCCCACCCAGCTGTGAGCCCCGTGCTGGATCCTGGGCTGTGGGACAGCACGGACCCCCTGCGGGAGCTGGTGGAGCCCCAGCAGCAGGAAGGGTGGGTGGGTGCTTTGGGGGGATGCCCTGGTCCCCCTTCCCACAGCCCCTGGCAGCGGCACGTCCACCCCATCCTGCCCGACAGCGTCTCCAGGAGGGCTTTGGCATAACCATGGCAACTGCCAGGTAATTAATGGCCAGGTCTCAATGCCATGGAGACCAAACAGGCACCAACTGAGCGGGTGGGGCTGCACCCCTGCCCACGGGGGCACTGAGCCCCCAGCGCAGGATGCGACCCCCCGGCACATGGTGTGTGGCTGGTGCTGTGCCCACCCAGGGCAGGGATGTCACCCCACTGTGAGGGTGGCACGTGGCAGCCACTGTCCTCCAGATGTTCCCAGCCTCACCCCGAAGCCTGAAATGAGCTGGGTGAGACCCTGGGCACAGCTGTTTGTGCCTCCCCCTGCTTGGGGGCTGGTCCCCCTCAGCTCCCCCAGGCGCAGCTCGGCCTCTCCTGCCTCTTTGCACCAGCAAATTCCAATTAATAAATGCAGGAATGCCCTTTTGTGCATAAGTGACCAATTATTTGATGCATGAGCACCCCATCAGCTCACCCACGAGCACCCAATTAATCACGTGAGGGTTAAATAGTGAAACTTGAGCACTCCAATAAAGTCCTCGGGTGTCCAGTTGAGCCCCCTGTTATCCAAGCAAAGAAAGGGCAGGAAGAAGCATTTCCCTGAATACCTTTAAAATATTTACATTTTCCACTGTTTCAACACCCATGCCATGATAGTTAACACGGTGATTGTTTTAATTGCAATAAATTAAAGTAAGTCAAACTTCCCCCAGTTGAGACGGGGGCTGAGGATGTGTCTTGGGGGAGGCTCCTGTGCACAGTAATTTATTTATTGGGGAATTTTTCCCTGGCAAAGGAAAAAATTTTGCCTGGCAAAGTCCCTCCCCGAGCAGAACAAAGAAGAGGGCTGGTTGGTTGTGTCACTTTGATTCAGCAGCAAACACTTGACCAGAGGGACTTTATTCCGAGTCTGCCTCCGAGCGCGTCTCAGGGATGAAGCAGACAGGGTTTGGGGGAGTCGGTTTGAAAACCCAATTAATGCAAGTTTGGAGTGTGGAGCTTTTGAGGGGCTGCTGGGACATGTAATGAAAGTGTGGCTGGGGCAGCTCTTCATCTGAGGCTTCCAAAATCTGCCACGTGAGCTTCAGTCCTCGTGGATCAGGTACGTGAGGGCGTAAGGGTGAAACAATGTCTGGTACAGAGAGGAATAAACAGGGGGGCAAGTCCTGTGCTGGGAGAGAGCCGGAGATAATCTATGGAAATAGCCCAGGAAATGAGGGCTGAAGAGCAGCGGGTGATGAGATGACTCAGTGCAGGAGAGAAGGAGGAGCAGAGGGAGTGGGAGCTGCTGGGGGATGAGGGTTGTACCGGGCAGGGGTCTGGGGGTGAGCGGTGGTGGTGAGGAAAGGTACTGCCTGTGCTCCCAGCTGTCTGTGGGAAGCAGCCCAGGTTGGCAGGGACCTGTCTCCCAGGACTGGTCTCATTTTTGCCCCTGGGTTCCCACCTTCCCCCATCCCATCTCATCCCCTTCATGGCTGATGCCACGAAAACCTGGACCTTGCTTTTGGCAGGACCACGCTGGGGTCTCTGACACACCTCGTTGGAGAGTTCCAGCAGCCCCACGGGCTCGGTGCTGCAGGAGAGCCCAGCTCACCTGGCTGGGGCTGGGCCAGCGGCTGCAGGCGCACGAGGCAGCGCAGGAGTCGCAGAGCGCCTTTATTCACTTATCCATTAACGTCCTTTGTCATTTCCAGAAGCACTGGGAGCTGTTTTCTGGCTCAGCTGCTGCTTCCCCTTCCCTCCGGCCGCAGATGCCCCTCGGTGCTGCCGGGCTGGGGCGGGGGCAGGATTGCTGAGGACGCTTCAGTTAAGGGGTGTGGATGAGCCCACATTTTGGTAAGTCCTTCCCCACAGCCCCGGGTCCTGCTGCTTTTCTCCCCTTCCTTCCCTCCCTGATCTGTGATCGCTGTGATCCCAGGGCTGGCATCCCTCCTGCGGGGCTCCTCGTAGCAGTGCTCCTTGTCTGAGTCCGGTTTTCCTTTTCCCTCCCCAGGAGCCCACGGGATGAAGCCGCTCTCCCGAGGAGCCTCCCCGGGTGCCAGGCAGGGTGCTGTGCTGTGATGAGGAGCAGGATGTGCCCTGTGGACACCTGAACCCCACAGCTGCCAGATTTTGGAGTGCTGGGACAGGGGGTTTCTCACCTGCCTGCACACAGAGGGGCTCGGCCGCAGCCATGGAGGGGGACGGGGCCAACGCCACCACCCACGAGCTGACCCTGCAGAACCGCTCCAACGCCAGCGCCCAGTTCACCGGGGTGCAGCTCATCCAGTCCTTCAAACCCCTCATCATCCCCTGCTACGCCCTGGTCGTCCTCGTCGGCATCTTCGGCAACTACCTGCTCCTCTACGTCATCTGCAGGAGCAAGAGGATGCACAACGTCACCAACTTCTTCATCGGGAACCTGGCGTTCTCTGACATGCTGATGTGCGCCACGTGCGTGCCCTTCACCCTGGCCTACGCCTTCAACCCCCAGGGCTGGGTTTTTGGGAAGTTTTTGTGCTACTTTGTCTTCCTGATGCAGCCCATGACCGTCTACGTCTCCGTCTTCACCCTCACGGCCATCGCAGTTGACAGGTAAGTGCTGGGTGGGTGTTTGTCCTCCCCCGGTCCCCTCAGGTTGTTGCTCCCTCAGCTCAGGGTGTTTACTGACAAACACTCAAAACTGGAGAAGGAAAATCCCTGAGGATTCCCTGGGAGTATCCCTGCAGCCTTTTCTTTAGCACCAGGACTCGGTTTTGGGGGGAGGATGTGCAGGGGGGATGTTTGGCATTAGCAAACGATGCTCTGCAGTTCCGTGTCCCTGCATCAAGCCGTCACTCCTGAAATCCTGATCTGTGCTCCCGGAACAAGGGCTCGTTGGAGTTTGCACCCTGGTTTTCCTACTTCGGGTAAATCTGTGCCCAGACCTCGTGTGTCCTGGCCCTGGGGTGGAGAGTGCTTGTGCCACATGAAGCGTGCTGGGTTGGGGGGTTAATAAAATTTGTGTTTCCATAGAGATCTCCTCTCATCAGAGATGATACAAATGCTGAGGGGACAGAGGCAATGACTCTTATGCTGGTTCTCCTCTGCCCTGGGGGGAGCAGGGCAGGACCAGGGATGGGAAGGGGAAAAAAATTAAAAAAAAAAAAGAAAAATAATTAAAAAAGAAGGTTTGGGTGGAACAGCAGAGGAAGCCTGGAATGCTGGTGGAGCTGTGCTGCCCTTGGGGGCTCGGAACATCCCCAGGAGTGCTGGTGTTCTTCTGCTCTTCAGCAGAGCCCAGAGCACCCCGGGCTGCAGGGGGATGCTCCGGGGGCTCCCCGTGTGTCTCCCCACAGGTACTACGCCACCCTGCACCCCCTGAGGAGGCGCATCTCTGTCACCAGCTGCGTCTCGGTGGTGGGGGGCATCTGGCTGCTGTCCTGCGGGCTGGTGGCCCCCGCCGTGGCCCACACGTACCACGTGGAGTTCCGGCAGGAGGGATTCACCATCTGCGAGGAGTTCTGGGTGGAGAAGGAGACGCAGCGCCTGGCCTACGCCTACAGCACCCTGATCCTCACCTACATCCTGCCGCTCTCCGCCGTGTCCCTCTCCTACCTGTGCATCTCAGTGAGGCTGCGGAACCGGGTGGTGCCCGGGCACCCCACGCAGAGCCAGGCTGAGTTCGACCGCCTGAGGAAGAGGAAGACCTTCCGCCTCATCGTGCTGGTGGTGTTGGCCTTCGGCGTCTGCTGGCTCCCCATCCACGTCTTCAACGTCCTCCGGGACATCGACATCCACCTCATCGACAAGCGCCACTTCCTGCTCATCCAGCTGCTGTGCCACTGGTGCGCCATGAGCTCCTCCTGCTGCAACCCCTTCCTCTACGCCTGGCTCCACCACCGCTTCCGCACGGAGCTCCGCAGGATCTTCGCCTGCAAGAGGAGGATCCGCCCCGCCAAGGGCTGCGGGGCTGCTGGGGGAGTGCTCTGAGCCCAGATTCTCCAGGGCGTGTGCCTCGTCCCGGGCA